CCTTAGGCTAGTTTTATTTTCAATGTAATTTTATTTAAATAACATAACAAGTTAATAAAAAAATTATAATGCCAAAATGTTCTGAGGTGGTTTGTTTACGCTGTTAATACTAGTCCGTTTGCTCATTTAAAATGTCATGCTGTAAACTTTACAGTATGACATTTTTAAATGAGCAAACAGACTAGTATTAACCAACCCAAACAAGTACTCCGACCCAGGGTGCATCGCTTATTTAGTTCACTAGCGATTAAGAGCTACTCACAGTAAACCTGACTGGCCAAAACTGTGAAATTCGACAGAAGATGGCTGACACGACCCCACCTCTCTTCACCACAGCTTTCTTCTGTTGAGAACAAAAGTTTTGTCTTTATAAACGCTCATTTTGTCCTGAACGTCTCGTAGGAAAAAAATTAACACTGTTTTATCTCGGTGAAATAAACGTAATCAAATAAACTTGCCTCTTGGCCCTCAATGTTCTCAGACTCAACGGTGTAGTTGCTCTGGCTAGTCATCTCGATGCTCTCTGAACTAATCCACCGACTCACCGCCAATTTACCAGGCAGCCATGCACGTGCTAATTGAAACAGGTGCATTTTTCCAGCCCACTGCGGTTTGCGCGCGTGTCCGCATGCGTGGAGACATGGCTGTGTACTGCATACTGCGCACTACATATTAAAAATAAAGTATGCGCGAAAAATACACAAATACTCTTATGTGCGAGTTCGGTAAACCATACAAAGCAACAGTTACTAGAACTTGTTACATAAAAACAAATTCATGTTTAAAACTTGGTAAAAACAAACATGAAAAATTAAATAATATAAATCCATATAAGTAGGCTATATTTCAAATAATATTTTAATATTTTGTACATTTACCGTTTCGTTTAAATTAATTACAGTGTAACTTATCTTAAATAAATTACCTCATAATAAATCAATTACAACAATGAAAAGCTAAATATTCCTCAAATATAACTTATGCATTCATACACATTTTAACCTAAAACCTTGTGCACACTATAGGCTGCCATTGCATTATTTGAATTACCTTAGAGTACAAATGCGTATGGCAATTATTTGTAACTAGGATATTTATGAACTTACCATGCTATAAGTAAACATTTAAATGTTATGTTAAATGTTTAAATGTTAAAATAGACTTAAAATGAATACATCATAGGATATCTCTTCAAAGAGTTTTCATAATCTTTATGCCATTTTGTTTGGTTGTGTTTTCCGGTTTGTTCTATTAACAGTAATTGCAGTAACTATGGTTACCAAACTACAGTTTCGTGAGGGTGTCGTCTCTGTTATCACCGTCAGGCGGGAGAGAGCCACATTTGGGCATGTTTCCGCCGCTCACGGCTCCCTCGTCACATTTACGCACGTCTGAAACAAACAGAGAGGGGCAGATTTGAAGGGTCTGGAGGACTATAAATCTCTGAGGCTGCTCTTTCAGTCACAACTTTATACAAGCAGGTAATAAACAACACTTTTTCTATATTTTATATAGTAAGACAGAGCAAAGAATGGCAGCATTGCACAAGAATATGACGGTTACACGCACCATCAGTGCTGGAAACTGCACGGGGCCGAGCGCCGAAAGCCAGTCAGAAAGCGCGGGATTCCCGTTCCCGCGCAGACACAGTTCCGCGGGAATACTCGCGCTCAAATGGGCCACCGCGAGAAGTAGTTCGTTCGGAAGTTCGCTGGCGTCAGAAAACCGCGGGAGTAAAGACAGCATACGCAGTATCGTCGTGACACCGGACAGCATCCCACAATTCACCATTCCTAAACTCGCCCTGGAGGATGGGTATAGATCCAGAGTGAAAGAGAAAGAACGACAAGGTGAACAAGATGAGGACCGGGGGAGCTTTGATGACATTAGTGGATCCTATCATCCTCTTTCATCTTCAGTTTCATCGTCATCATCATCCTCGGGTTTCAGTGTATCTCCTGTACCTAGAAGAAAAGCCATCTCAGATGTCAAACGGTCTCAAACTCAGAGCAACTGTTCTCTGGTGGAAGCTGAACATTGCTCTGACCCTGCCAGCCGAGCGGCTCTTTCTTTACCTCACCTTCCCAAAGTCACCACCCCATACGGCTTTGTAACTTTGAGCAAAAGCCCACAAATGGCCAACGAAGAGGCACTCTTCTTCCAGGGCCATAGACGTTGGGGTCATGATGAAGAGATAAACCCGTCCAGACACCCTAAGCTGGAAATGAAAAGAAGCATCACTGTCAGAACATCACCCATCCAGACACATGCCAGCACCCCTCCACATCAGTCTCCCGTCGCTCATCGTTTCTTTAGAAGCCACAGCGTTACTGGAATCGAGATTTTGAAGCAACTGGCTCAGAGCAATGAGTCAGTGAAACAGGTCAGCAAAAGCAAGCGAAGCCTTTGGGGAATTCTTCGCAAAGCAGACAGAAAGTCTTTCGATTTCAATTCAAACCTCAAATGAACAAACCCAGAGCAGTAGTGCTCAATAACATGACAATCAAGCACCTTGTAAATGCACTAGTTTTTGATGCTGTCTGTTTTGTTGTGTGAGAATGTATTTATTTTATGCATTCATTTCACATGTCCAAATGTTCAGATTAGTCATTATAGATGTTATTCATGACTTCATGAAGAAAATAAATTTTTTGAACATACAAATTGTTTCAAAAGCCTCAGTCTTCTGATTTACAGGGACTCCAAAAGCCCTGTAAAGCCAATTAAAATGTAGAAATGTCATTAGATAAAATGTAAATTCAACGGACTTTTTAAAAAAGAAATATAGCACAAACACACATTTTAAACAAAACATTTTATGGAAATATGTTTCTTTGGTTTTAAATTATACTATAAAACTATAAAATCCGCTTGGGTTAAGACAGTTTGAAGTTTGTCAGTATTGGCGTGACTACGTTACAAGGCTGCTGACGTAAATCTGTGGTAAAAATGTGTGCGTAAGGAACCCCCAGCACTCAGGACCACAGCATGTGAAGAGTCTCTTTACTGAGAGAAGCATATGAGCTTAATGATGGTCCACTTCAGGGTCTCTTCAATGCTTGCTTTGTTATTGTCCCCTCCTCACCCTTGCACTCTTTCCTTGTTTCTTTTCATTTTGATGAGGGCTTCTTCCTTGCACTCATGTCTTAAATTAGAACTGCATGGGCAATTCATCTTTTGGTCTGCACTTCATGAACACAATGGACTTGTAAGAAATGCACTCATTTTGTGCATCAGAACATAAAAATCCCATTTGGATTCTATTAGACTCTTTATGACAGCATAAGTAGAGTAGGCTAATGTGCAACAGTTGTCTCGTCCAAAATAAAATGCATAAAACAACACAAGAGTTCTGGATGAATATTTGTTTTGAAGTTTCAATAGGCCTACATAAATTACACTGAACCCAAGATTATATTATGCTATTGCATGATAAAGTTGAGTGTATTGTAATTTATATTTTCTATGCGTTCATAGTTTAGAATGATTACTATTATGGAGAAATATGCCCATTTTGTGGGAGCAAAAAATGTCAGAAAAAAAAATACTGGATTCCGGAAGAAACAAGAAAATTTCACCTTTTAACTTTACAAATTGCTGTTTGCACCTTAGGTTTAATCCTTTCATCAGCTGTTTGTTGTCTTAGCTAGTATTTCATAACCGTGTTCACCTTTTAAGGAAATTTGTGAAATCTGTTTAGTCATAGGTCTTCTATGGGTGTTTTCAAGCACTCTGAAGCAGACTGCGCTATACATAATGACGACAAAAGACCCAAACAATAAGCCCTCTCTGACTCACTCTCACCCTCCAGCCAAAAGAGCTACATCCAGAGCCATCTGAAGACACTACAGATTGTTCACAGAGCTCAGTTTGAATGGAGGCTTTATATATGGAGCTTTTTAAATTCAGTCTGACACCACTTTTTGTATTTGTTACTTTTGCTGAATGATCTAGGTCCACCTACAGATGTATTTAATACAATGTTTTTACTATGCTGTATTTTGAAATGTAGAAGTATCACATCTGAACACAAACAGTTGGATGCAATCCCAATATTTAATAATAATAACATTAATACTAAAGGTCAGTATACTTGTAATTAGTGCACAGGATAAGCCCTTATGCAGTGCATATGGTGTAATTACAGAATCTACCAACAGGGGGTAACAAGGGCCAGCCTGTACAAAATATTAAATTGCATATGACCCAACCACAGGTCACACGTCATCATTATTCACCATTCCAAAGTGAAAGAAAAAATAGGCACTTAAATTGGTATACCTCTTGGTTCTACCTTTTGTGTTGATTTTTGGTTTCTCCTAAGGTTTTATTCTTAGACGTGGGGAGGTTTTTGTTCCTGCTAGTGCCACTCTGTAAGGCTCAAATGGGATATTGTGCATTGTTAAAAGTCCTGTGTAAATGGTGCAGTCAAATTAAACTGAATCATCGGAAACTCAACTGAATCAACTCTTAATTGGGCCCATTTGAGCCACAACAAGGTCTCAAATCGAGGTTGCTCATTATGTATAAAGAGACAACAGCATCCCCTAGTGACTTGATAACTACAATGCTGGAAAAAAATTCACATATCTATTCTTGTCACTGGTATCTTGCAAAGTGGACGGTTATCTCCGTTCAAGCACTTTTCGAATCAGTTTGGCAAGGAGTTTGTGATTGGTGTAATTTAAGTTGCTTAATTTTATGTTCTGTAGAAAATATAGATATATAATGTCAAAATTATAAAATGTTTCCCAAATTTATAGAAATGCTCAGTGCCCAACTCTTCACCTTGGTGACCTGGGTCGTACCAGCTTAGTGAGAAAAAACCCTTAGATTCGTCTCTCAACACAAATTTTTCTCAGTACATGAGCACAATGTAGCTACATTAGCATGTCATCCAATGACAGTAAGAACTAGTTCCTTATTTCATAGTTTCCTTATTTGAAAGTACAGTGAACAGATGTGCACAAAATGCACTCTGCTTTTCCGCTACCAACCTCAGATGCTAGATATGCTGTAGCAATGTCTCAGACAGCCACAGAGAGAGAGTGTGAGGTAACTGCGTGCTAATGAACTAGAAGAAAACTACAGGAACTGACAGTTTGAGGTGGGTGAACCATATTCACGAACGCTCACGCTGTCACATGCTAAACTACAATGCATCAAGCAACAGACTACGCTCTCCTGGGAGCGTCAGGAGGGACATCGCCACCTGCACTGCCCATCAGACAGCGCAGGTAAGAGATGCTAGTGTTATGACTTGACACACATGTGAGCTGTGTTACAGGAAACCTCATGCCACGAAAGTTACTCGTCGCTCAGTATAGTGAAATATCACATAAGAGAAGCAGGTCCGGCCTAGTAACTTCATAATGTTCTAATGTTTCTGGATTTTTGTAAATACGTATGTGCACATGTTAAGGAGCAGGTCTTCTTCAAGCTCCATCCAGGATCTAGAGCTGAAGGTGGGAGATCTACACTTGCCTGGACCACAGACCCCCGTGTCTCCATTTACTGAAGTGTTTACTCCTACTTACTGTAATGCAGTCCACTGTCCAATACATCATCGCTATGGTGAGCACTGACAACATGTTTACAAGTATACTTTAATACAAAAAGGTTCTGAGGCAAGTAATAAAGATCTAACTAAAATGAGAACTGGTTTCTGTAACTGTTCACATGCGTAGCCTTCCCCATTTCTGTTTATGTTCTTTTACACTTTATTTCTTGAATACAAAAGTATTATTGAGGGAAGTAACACCTGAAACCAATACAGTAAGCCAATACAGTAAGCCACTAGACAGACAACTAAACCACATGTAGTCTGTGTTTCATGGTAATGTGGGAACTGAGACAGTTTCCACTGAATTTCATTTCATGGTTCCATAATACATGACATGAAACAACATCTGAGCATGCATTATGTGTATTTGTTGTGTCTTCCATTGCTAAATGTATTACCTATATCTTGTCACTCAGAAAATCACCAGATGAGATTCTTCTCAGACGAAACTCCACCTCCAGTACCTAAAAAGAGTCTGACGAGTACCCTATCCCTCCCAGAGGAGACTCTGGACCCACCTTACCACTCTCATACAAGAACCTGCAACTATGAAAATCCCCTATATATGATAACACCATTCCACGACACACTTACACTACAGGAGGAAGAGGTACAAGAGGAGAAATATCAGGGTCTGTCCTTGCACAAGGTGACCTTTGATACACCAGATGAGCAACTTCAAAGTGTCTTCAGAAGCTTCCAGAGCCATGAGCAAGTTTCCATGGGCATCCAAGAGTGTTATCTTCAGTTTCTCAAGAACACGTTGCAGAACATTGAATCGAGCGTCTTCCTAAATGAACAGGAAATGGAGATGGCAAAGACTTCTCAGCCTAATGACTTTATTTTGTGTGAGCAGCAGTGGACTGAGAGGGATGGTTTCTACTTGGTGCGTTGTCTAAAGGTTCCTGGGAGACTGTTTTCAGCGAAGGTAAGAACATCAACAGTATAATAACATAAGAGACCATCAATCTAAACTAGATGCACAAGGAATCTAGTTAGTAACTGTAGCCATCTGAATTTGTTTGTGTGTATGTGGGCGATAATGCACAATGGTTTTCAATCCAAAGCTGTAAGTAGGCCATCAGTGCTTCCCAGGCAGAGCCCCTGAACCACAAGCAGAATGCACACCCTTATAAGGCAGCCCTTGCTTGCAGTAGAAAACCCTAAAAAAAAAAAACACTTCCTTCATCATACCAGGTGTTGAGCAACAGCATCAACAGTTTGACATGTGCTACCAAGACTTTAGAGCATGTTTTTAGTCACAGTGCAGCAGTTTTCTGGTAAAGGACTTGGAGAACTTATATGTTGCATGTTACTTGTGTGTGAAAACTCAAAATGACTCCTAAATATTTTGTCAGGTTCACAGAGGGGATTCAGTATTAGACTGCACCATGTCCATGCCACATCCTAACACTGAGCAAGGGTTGGTCCATTTTCCACAGTGCACAGCTACGGATCAAACTTCCACCTCACAGCATGCTCAGACAACCCCAGAGCCTTTACATGGGGACACCACTGAAGTATGCCAACAGCAAACAGTTTCTGATCTTCTGGAGAAAGGTGTTAGTGTGACTGTGGTAAGAGACTTTCCATTGGGAACACTGGAGGACTTTGTTGAGGAAGGACACTCTTTGCACTCCACCCTTCCTGAGGTCTATGAGAGGAGGCTTTGTCTTCTTGCCCTCCAGTTGGTGCTAGGACTACAGCAACTGGGACATTTTAAAGTCATTCACAGGGAATTTAAACCACAGAGTGTGACATTAGTGTGGCCTAGTATCGCGCGCAAAGAGGCTGACTCTAATGATTACCCTAGTGAGATGAAAAGGGGAAGCATGAATACAGAAACTTTTACAGGTATACCCATGATCACAGTATCCAAAGAGCACACAGACTACGAAAGGACGAAAAGTGAGATTTGTCAAACCTTATGGGAGAAGTGGGGCACACCTCGTTTGGTCCTGAAGAGTCATTTTGAGGATGAGGTTTTGCAAGAAGCAAAATCCCAAGAGTTCCAGTTGGGGACTTTGCTGGGCTACTGCCTACATCTCAACGACAGTTGCTCATCTGTGTGGAAGGTGCCTCAAGGCACTCCATACACTCCAGGCTTGCTGTGGCTGGTCACCCAGCTTACATCTGAGAAACCTGGGCTACTATTAGCCGATGTGGTGGGTGTCCTCCAGGCCCTGCTTTGGGGTCCTCGACAGGGACTCTTTCAGCAAAACCAAATGGAGATCTCTGTGCTTTCTAATTGGCTACTACTTAAGAGTTCTCTTTTGGTTCTCAAGCTTGCCGAAAAAGGACTCTTTCAGGATCAGACTGGCTTGGACTGGGAAGACTATCTCTGTCTGCAATATCTATCCCTTACTGACCCAGAGACTATGCGTAGCATAACTGAACGTATGGGCCTTCATGATTTCATTACAACTGCTTAACAGATAAAAATGTAAATAGCAATGACAGCAATGGTGAGTTGGTGAGCCTCAGATATAACTAATCTATACTTCGTAATGTCACTGATATGATGTAAAAGAACAGTTTTACAATCCTAAGAACAGATCACCTTGTCCCATATTTGTAATTCATATTCATGAGCTGCTGTATATTTCAGGAGCCCTGCACAACGCACAGAAAAATCTAGATATTGTGGCAACAAATGAAGAATTTGTCCCTTATTTTAATTAAATCGGGGCCAAGTTTGATTGTTCCCTCGTTTTTTTTGGTAAATTGTTGCAATGTTGTACTAACTGGTTTTAATTTAGGCAGATCATTGCCACAATTTAAAGGAACAAATTATTTTTTTGTCGTGTACAAGGCCCATACATATGCATCACTACTCTTTCCATTTTTCCCCCAATTCTTCTTGCTACAAAATTAACATGTAAAACACTTGTTACATATTTATACTGCTTTATCATATTCAGAGGTGTCAGGCTACTCCCACTTACAGTAAAGGCCTAAGCAATATAAACTATGTATTATTGCAAAATCAGCTTATTGTTGGAGTTTGACCTTGTGGCGTTTACTTATTAACAATACCTGGAAAAATTAGCATTAAGAAACATTCAACAGGGTTAAAAGAGCAATAAAGCCTTCTAAAAACCTAGTAAGACATGGTCTAATAATTTACATTATGCTTATGGAAATGAATAGAGGTAGCAAAACGAAGGTAGTGGTGTAAGGTGAGCATTTTTATTCTGCACACTGTCAAACATGCAGACAGATCCTATTGAAGTCATAACTAAACTCCAATTCATGCACACATTAAGAAACGCAACAACTTGAAGACACTGGTAAAAAGAAAATCAACATATCAGCAATGAACACCATGATTCTACAAACATTGTTGATTGAGGGATCTTAACCATAAATATTATGCACTAAAAAGGATCAGTGTGGGAATGGGTGAAGGGAAATCAGCAAAGAATCCAATTACATTGGAAGTTAAGCCCAGTGGTAATGGCTTAAAAACTAAGTCAAATACGACTGAAAAAAACAAAAACAGCACAACCCTTACAAGAACTACAGCGTAGTAATTAACAGGAAAAACAAAACTTCAAATTTGACATTCATACTACGTTTCTTTTAATGGTGACCATGTTGAGCAAGATACAGCATAGTAATCAGAAGCAAGATGTGATTGATAAGCTTTATTCGTCACTATCGGAGTCTCTTTCGATGCTGTAAGCCATGAAGAAAGCGTCGGGGCGGGTTGGGACGAGGGGATGACCCGGTCTCACAATCTCAAAGCCCATGAAACTGAACGTCCTCAGCAGCGATGCTGGAGACAGAAGTGCAAAGGAAGTTAAAAATAGGGTTAATTTAAAAAAAAAAAAAAAAAAAAA